GTGAGGGGTGTAAATGTCTATTAGATTGTTTTGTACACCTGAAACTAATATAGATAAATAAATAAATGAATAGACTGCTGTCAAAAATAGCATTTCTGACAATTTAATAGAAAACTCTGAAAACACACAAGTATACACATACACAGACACACACACACACATTTATAAAAGGTATGCAGAACTTTTTCCAAGAATGCTTAATTCAGTCAGTAGTCCCCCAAGGTAGTGGAGGTGGTGGTGATGATGATAGCTAAACCTTTATGAGCTTACTATGTGCCAAGCAATGTTCTCAGCACTTTACATATAGTAACTCCCTTACTCTTCACAACAACCCTATTTAATAGGTACTATTAATAGTTGCCATTTTACAGATGAAGAAATGGAGAGGTGTAGTAATTTCCTAGGGATGGGCAGCTCTTTTTGTACGATCTCCATATAAAGTAACTTTCCAAAGTTTCTTATTTTTTTATTGAATTATTTCCAGACCTCTTTGCCATGACTTGAAGATCCTCTGTAATCTGGTCTTACCCAATTTAATTATCTGTAACTTCTATTGCTATGAGCTACAGTTTTAGACAATTAAGAGTCTAGGATTTTGTAGATCGATGTGTGCATTGGAAGGAGCTAAACTAGGTGCTTTAGAGATTTATTCCAATTTCAAGAATATGTGATTCTGAGTCCCTTTATGTATTTTCTCCTGTGTACGTTCAGCTTTAAAAAGTGTTGCAAGGCTTTTTCACATGAATAGCTTAATTTATTTCTAGGGAGTGAAGAAAGTGTCAGCTAAAGCCATTTTATTCCCCTGCTGTAAGAGTCCTTTGCTTTGATTTTCTTTTTCACTCAGCAAACAAAGATCTCTGCATTGTCTTAAAGCTTTTTTGAAAATAAAATTCTGTTTGATTTGGTCACATGATCAGAAAGACCAGATGTAAACCTTTCTGAGATACGATGTGAATGACATTAATGTATGTCATTAAAATAAGCATTTCTAATTCTACTGTGCTCCTGTTTCAGATGTTTGGGAGTTGAGAGGTACACGTGCTTTTCTTGGTATTTTGAGATGATTACCTGAATAAATTGCTATTTTATTCAACAGGTGGGTTTTCAGAAAAGACATATGAATGGAGCTCAGAAGAGGAGGAGCCAGTGAAAAAGGCAGGCCCAGTCCAAGTCCTCATTGTCAAAGATGACCATTCCTTTGAGTTAGATGAAACTGCACTAAATCGAATCCTTCTCTCGGAGGCTGTCAGGGACAAGGAGGTTGTTGCTGTATCTGTTGCTGGAGCGTTTAGAAAAGGAAAATCATTCCTCATGGACTTCATGTTGAGATACATGTACAACCAGGTATGGAAGAGGTGCTTTAAAAAGGTTTCTTGTGGCTAGGCTTCTGTCACTTTGTGCTTTTATTTAGTAGTGTCCAATATTTCTGTTTCTATTATTACATACTCTAAATATGAATTAGTTAAAAAACCCTATGGTCTCATTCCAACTTTGGTGCTTTGGGCACCAAACTACAGAGGCCACTTTTGTCTGAAGCCACTTTGCTACATTTCCGTTAGAATGTAACTTATTTTTTTTAATCCTTTAGAAGTAGACACCACATAATGATAAGATTATAAACTTCATGTGTTATAATGTTTAAAATGTCAAATAACTTGTCATAACTTTTTTATTGTAATCATTCCCCTCCAACATTTATTCTGACATTTTTCAAGCATGCAACAAAATTAAAAGAAGTTTACAGTGAACACCTGTATATCCACTACTAGAGTCTACCATTAAATTCTTGCTTTATCATGTGTATCTCCAGTTATTCTTCCCTCTTTCCATCTATCACTCTGTCTTATTTTTTTATTCATTTCAAAGTAAATTGCTGATATCAAAATACTTCCCCATAAGTATTTCATACATCATTATTATGTATTTCAGTATTTAGTTTATTTTTCTCTTGTAAAATTTACAGTTACATGCACAAATCTCAAGTGTACATTTGCTTATTTCTTTTGAAAGTGCATATACCTGTGTAACTTCAAATTCTATGAGTATATCTTGCCTTTACCCCAGAAAGTTCTCTCTTATCTTTTCCCACTCATTTCTCACCCTTACCCCACCCCCAGAGGCAGCCAGTAGTGTCATACATTTGAGAGAACAGTATGGCACAGAAGTGAGACTTTAAGGGACCTAGGATAAACCAAAAGCTGAAGGATAAATAGGAGATTAGAGTTTAGAAACAGAGGGTTGGGAATGGAGAGNAAAAAAATAAAATTATACCAAGAGATACAATTACCTTGTTATTCTTTAGTTATAAGACTTATCAAATAGACATAATGAAGAATGTCTATAAGTATATTTTCACAAACTCAGATGGAAGGTTATTTAAGAGCCCAGTTTGTTTCAAAAATTAATATTATTAAGGGTTGATTTGAGGTTACTATTATTTAAGGCTAGGTCATATATCTGATCTGAGGAATCAATTGGTGTGTATGTTTTGACTTTCTGTTCTTTTGATACAAAGCAAATGAACCCATTTATGTGTTGTCCAAGAGTTATTTGATTTCCATTAAAAAGGCAGAATGTTACAGTAGAAAGGTCTGGGATGAAATTTAGCTACCCGGGCTCTAATCCCAAATTGACAGTTACTATGTGAATTTGGAATATCACTTCCTAGTAGCTGTGATCTTGGCAAAGTTACTTAATCCAATTCTTAATTTTCTCATGTGTCAAAAACACAGATAATAGTAAATACCTTGCTAGAATGTTAAAAGAATAGACAAATAGCATAAGAATGCATCCATGGTAGATTGCCTGATATAGAAATTCTATTTCCTTTTCTTGGGCAACGTCAGGTACATCTTTGGCTGTAGTTTCCTAAATCTATAATAATACTAATAGCATTTACTATATACCAGCCACTGTTCTAAGTGTGTTACATGCATATATTAATTTACAGCAATCTTATAAGGTAGACCCAGAGAGGTTAAACAACTTGCCTAAAATTACTCAGCTAAGAAATGGAGAAGCCTTGATTCGAATCTCAGCAATCGGGTTCCAGAGCCTATGTTTTTAACCAATACAGTGTACTGCCTTTCAAAAGGAAGGGATTATAGGCTGTATCCGTTGTTTATTGCCTGTTATGCTGCATGATAAACAGTCACAAAACCTCAGGGGCATAGAACAATAAGCATTTATTGATCACATGTTGAAATGGTTTTAGGCGACTGTTCATCTTGGCTTGGCTCCCACACATGACTGGGGGTCAGCTTGCTGCAGGGCTTGGCTGGGACTGGGCAGTTTGCCCCCTGTTCCAAACGTCTCTCATCCTGCACCAGACTAGTGTAGGAATATTCTCATGGTGAATGGCAGAGGCATGTCTGCTAAAGCAAATGACGTGGCTGACCCCAGAGTCAAAGCAGGAGGACATTACAAAGGCAGTGGATATAAGATGGTCTCACTTAACACATTGAAGTTGTTTTGTAATATAACACAATGCCAATTCTAGGGTTCCAAAATTTTTATATAATAAGGATGAATTCTAAAAGTTGACCGCTGTCAGAACTACCTTATGACCCAGCAATTCCACTCCC